TTTATTATACGTGTGTGTGTAAAAATACTATATACATACAAGGTTATACACATATGCATGTATATTTCCTTTCTCATTCACCTGTGATATTTCCTTTATTATAAATATTTGTGTCAATATAAATATGTATAATGTGTGTGACTCGACATACACATGTGTGCATCCATGTGCATAGATCCTCGCGTATGCACGCACCCTCTCTAGTTATCTGTGAGATTTCCTTTTGTTGCAAATTATATTTTCCACAGGAGCAGATGTAGACAGATGGGTCAAAGATGGTGGACAGATGCTGATTCAATTATCTGAGTCTTTGTGCCTTTTCCAAATTGCTTTGTGATTCGCCTTAATATCAGCTAACACTAGTCACAGTCAACTCTACCCGAGTGCCGAGTGCCAAGCGGGCGGCTAGGAGCTTCGATCCTGACCACACCTTGCAACTCTGGCAGCTTGCACCAAACGCCGAGGGCTCCGCTCACAGGACATAGCCAGGGCCCAAGCTTGGGTCCTCCTGAGGGCAGAGCCCCAGAGCGACCCCTTGGCTCTGCTGCCACCCACACATGCACCACAGTGCCACTCACCTGCCTTCGGTTTGCTGAATTTCATGGACAGGCTTCTTGAAATATTCTTCACCACTGGCTTTAGAATTAAGACATGGTGTTTCCAAATATCCGGTCTGGGTTTTGATTGGAGTTGCATTAAAAACATTTAGGAAGAATCGATTGTTTTTCTCTTAACTTTTTATTTCCATGACACCTGGGAGGCACAGTCTGAGGTCATTCTTCCACTCACCCAAACATCACAATCAGCTAATTTAGCAGTGCACGTGGCTCTCGTCTTCATTAGCCCACGCTTGCGGTGCACGCTAATCACACTCCTGTACCCACCACATCTTCATTCTTTGTCTCCCTCCTCTCTCTTGGTCCCGTGCCCCTTTGCAAAGATCTTTCCCTAATCCTCCTACATGAGGCTACTGCACTGTTCTCTATTTGTTCAAGTCTCTTTAGTAATCTTCACAAAATATTGCATTTTTCTTCACATAGGTCCACAGTGCTTTTTTTTCTTTTTTACAAATTACCTTCCCATAGTTCCTCCTTTGTTGCTGTGGACAGAAAGATCTCTTTTTTTCTATAGCACGGTGGGTGTGGTTTAAGTGGGTCTCCCAGAATTCTGTGTTGGAAAGATAATATCTAGAGTCACAAGTCTGTGGTCTTTGGCACTGCCAGGTTCCTGAGTGGTCCATGGATCAATGGATTAGTGGATTTACAGGTTAGCTCAGGAATGGCTTCTATATGAAAGCTAATTGTTCTGACCATTGGCTGCCCTTCACCACATTGTGAGGAACTGCTCAGCCTGCAGAACCCTGAGCGAAGCAAGTCTCTGTTCTCCATAAATTACTCGGCCTGTGGTATTCAGTTATGGTAACCAGGAAGGGGCTAACATGGATATTGAGTAAGTCTCGTAGTTTTCAGAATCCTACAGATCTGAGATTTTACACTCGTTGCAAGCCAGTAGGTCAGCCCATACACACTGTTTCATGAATACTTGAAGAAGACCTGAGTCTCTTGGGTCAGGAAAAAAAACTATTATTCGCAGCAAAAGCAGCAAGGGGCACATCAGTCTGGTGGACATGTGAGCACTGTCCTCCTGGGGACAAAGCCAGGGCCCCTCCTGGATGCCACCACAGGCAGCAGGCATGTAACAGCCACCAAGTATGAGTGTTCTCTACATGCACGGGACATAAAATCAAGACTGCCCTTCACAAAGAAGGCCTCCCCACAAAGCAGCTGGCTACAGACAGCCAGAAAGGTGCCTGAGGCTCGCGCTCTTGGCTGATCCAGTAAGAGGGCTCGTGGCCACCTGGGGCTGCCGGTGACTGCTTCTGAAAAGGTGTCTATGAATGCTGCTGGGTTTTATGAACTCACCATTATGCAGCCAACCTCCTGAAGTCATAGTTTTAGGTGAGATACGATCATTTCTCTTCTGTACAAGGGATGATCACAATATTCAGTGAAAGTTTTAATTGTTTTTGTAGTAAAAGACACATTGCCATGAATCCTCCTCAAAATCCATCCCCTCATTTCATCTCATTGTTCTTGTCACTTTCTGAAGCAGTTCTGGAAGTCGTTTTTACAAGATGTGACAAAAATATGGTGAATTCTGCTGCCTGGTGCCATCTGACCAAAAGGCCCCTCATAAAAACGTGACGCTGTGTCCTCATCCACCTCATTCACCAGATCTGGCACCAGATCTGGCTCTTCCTCAAAGTCAGGATGACCATGAAAGGTAAATATGTGAATCAAGTTAGGAACTCAAGTGCGCTTGAAGTGAGGGGGATTTCTGAGGGGGATTGAGGGTGGTGTGTCTTATTGCAATACATTTTTAAGCATTCACCCTATCTTTTGATCACATCTTGTGTGTGTGTGTGTATTTTTGAATTTACATGTCAGTGTGTTCAAATAACATGATCAAGATTACCTAGATAGTAAACTCCATCTGCAACTTAAACCCTCATTTTATTTATTTATTTATTTATTTATTTATTTATTTATTTATTTATTTTGGTACCAGGGATCAAACTCGGGACCTTGCACTTTTGAAGCAGGCGGTGGAACCACTGTGCTAAATCCCCAGCCCCTACCCTGTTTTTATTCCAAATATTTTACCTTTTCTCTTTCACCATGCTGACCAGACAAATTCTATGTCTATTTAACCAGAAAGTCTATTTTTGTAATGCACTATGTCCCCACATAGTCTTGCCCTTATGTGTTTGCACATCCATTGATTCATCTGTCTCCCGGCATGGGCAGTGAGCTCTCTGCATAGAAACTGAGTGTGTTTGTGTCTCATACTATATCTCAGTGGGCAGGACAGAGAGGGAGGGAGGGGTGGATGGATGAATGCTAACTGGATATATGAATGTATTTTGGCTCTACATTTTCAGTATGTCCAAGAACTCTCATTTCTTTGCCAGACGCATTCCCAGGAAATTCTGTCAAGGTCTACATTTTATTAGATTGTGTCTGGATAGACAGAGCCCACCAGCAGGAATCTCAGTAGTGGCCTGGAGAAAGTTAATTGATTTATTTAATTTTAATGAAGACTGTAATGTTGGATAGGACTAACGAATAGGTGTCTTTACATGTACTTTTACTTAATAAAAAAAAAAGCCAATGGGAAGCAAAGTCAGGGTATTTTTTTAGTTCCACCTTTCTCAGCTTCTACTTCCTTCACACACTGGCATTTATATAAAATGACAATGACGGTGGCTGCCCCTCCCAGATGCTCGCATCTACCCTGGCCTGGTGCTGCTGTGTACTGCCTAGGTGAGTTCTCAGAAATGCACATGGATCCTGTCATTCGTTTCTGTAAGGAGGAAAACACACACACACACACACACACACACACACACACACACACATCTCCCTCTGCTTTCAAGATGCAGTCAGATTGCTTGACAAAAATGCAAAGCCCTCTCGGATCCGCTTCCTTCTCAAAACTTCTCAAACCTTCTCAAACCTTCCTTCCCTAAACTTAAGCTTCACTGAAGTCAAAATTTTTGGAGCATCTTGAGTGAGTGCAGGCCGCCTGGCTTCCACAAGTCCTGCTTCTCCATCCGGATGCCTTTCCTCAGACTTCCACCCTGGCTGATACTTAATCATCTTGGAAGGTCCATGCTCCATTTTACGTTTCATGGGATGCTCTTTCCGAATGAATGCTCCTCTCAGAATGCTAACGATGCTCTTGGGATGTTGCCATTGAACCTAAGCATCCTTCGTGCACAGCCCTGGAACACCTGGTTGCAGTGACTATGGTGAAGGTCTGCATTCCCACTGTGTCTTATTTATGGCTTTACCTTAGGAGTCTAGCACAGGGCCTGGCACAGGGTACGTGCTTGCAACTATTGGCTTCTCCCTCCCTTACGCACCCCGTCATAGTTACAGCTTGATGACAACCAGTAAAATATTGGTAAGCTCCAACTCTGAAGCCTGCCTCTTGTGAAACAAGGCAAAGATTGGTGTCTTAAAGTTGCAGGATTTGTGCTTCAACAAGACCACAAAGTCAGAAGAAAGTGGCATTGCCCAGTGCACAGGAGCATGTGACCCATCTGGGGCTGAGGAGCAGCAGAATCCCACCCTGAAAGGTCACCCTCACTCCTGATTTGCCCAGCAAAAGAGCTTGCTAAGAAAGGCTTTTTGAAAAAGAAAAAGAAAAAGAAAGTACAACCATGATCCTGCAAATTTTAAAGGAGTTCTTCAAAGGACACAGTTTGGGAACTAAACATTAAAACTGGATGCACAAGCACAGGTTCCCGAAAGTGGCCCAGCAACAAAAGTGGCCACGCCCAGGAGAGGGTGACAATGCCAGACCAGCACACCTGAGCTGGAAACCATGCCCGAGGCCAGCTGCCCCCACTCTGAGGCAGGCAGACCATGCCAGGCCTCCGTCCAGGCGTTAAAGATAAACCAGGAGCTCTGAGGGCCCCAGGACACCAGGGGACTTTAGCAGCAAAGCCTCGCCCTCCCCAGGCTGAGAACCCCCACAGTGGGCACAGTCACCCCAGCCCCGCCTGGCCCAGGGGCGTTCCTGCCCTGGGATTTGGAGATTGAAAGCCAGCCCCAGTGGTAGTCAGGAACCAGCGCCAGCGTTTCCTCGCATTTGACCCATGGGTCCAATAACAGCTTTCCCGGGATATTTTTCTCTGCCTCTTGAGCTCACGGGTAGTTTAAAGGAAGATTAATCCAAGGGCTTGCTACGTTCTACTTACCTCGTTAAAATATTGCATTGGAAGACGTGTTTATAATACTCAAGAATCCTGCGGATCCTCTTTACTAAACTCTTTAAAGGAACTCTTTAAACAGTGAGCAGAGCTGAATATTGCAGTTTTTGTTTTAGCTCAAGATTCACTTTATTGCCAGCCTCCGTTAGGTGGTCCTGGGGGCTATTCTGGCACTGGCTCTGCGATCTGTACACATTGATTATCCCAAACTTTCCCAAAAAGAGAGGAAACAAAACGCCTAAGTCTTCTTATGGGGTAGAAATGAAAAGAGCAGATTTTAATAAGGTGCTTATTAGGTGACAAGCATCATTCTGATGAAGCAGGGATGTGTGAGGTGGGTGTGTAGGGAACTGCACCTGCAGATGAGGAGACTGAGCTTAGTGACCTGCATAAGCAACTTGCCTCGAGCCACCCAAGTCTGCTTTGAGGGTAGAAGACCAAGTTACTCATGGCTGATTCCATAGATCTCTTCCCGACAGTGATTCCAGCACCCTGAGCATATTTGTGTTCTTTGACCTCCACACGTGGCCCTGTGCCCCCTCTGCAATCCCTGGGGAGCAGAAAGGGCCCCGTCCCAAGGACCTGCCCCCCCCCAGCTTTTATCTGAGTCATCTTGGGCAAGTCCGAGCCTCCACATTCTCATTTCAGTGGTGAAATCCGAGGCTGCAAGCATCACATGAAACAACGTACATGAAAATCGAAATGTAGCTTGTAAAAGTTGACCAACAGTAGTCATAATCATTAAGGAAATGTGAGAAATATTCGATAGCAATGAAAGAAAACACTACTAGTTCTGATACAGTCCAAAGCAGTGAGGGGAGAGTACTCGGCGAGAGTTGAATGAGGGCAGAAAGCAGAGTAGGATAAAAGTGTATTCCTGGGACCTGGAGCTGGTGATACGGAGAGCAGGCCATGAGTAAGGCTTTGTGATCATCTCTGTGAGTTACCTCTGTATACTCTTCCGCTGTCTACGGCCATACCACCCTGAACACGCCCGATCTCTGCATACTCTTCGTGCACAGAGAGAGCTCTTCGGCGATGTGTTTATTTCGGGACCGCCGATGTGTGGGGTACCATCAAGGAGAACGTGTGAGCAGGAAAATGATTGCTTTGGGCAGGCGTGTCCAGGCCAGCGTTCTCTGTGACGGGGTAACTAGGAGTCTGCAGAGAAGCCTGGGCTGCTGGAGAAACCTGGCTGACTTGCAGGGCTCGCAGGGTGGGCTGGGAGGATGGAGGGGTGTTGGAAGCATCCCCACCTCCCTTCTGGCTCCCATCCCCAAACGTTTTGTAAGAGATGGTCCTCAGTAGCCCGTGCATGCCGCTCCTTGAGGTCTGCCTGACTCCGAGCTCAGCAGCTGCAAATGAAGGCCATGTTCATCTCTGGCTGGCCGCAACCTCTGCTGACAGAACCAAGGCGCTTGTGTGGGAAGGGAATTTCACTGCAGGAGGCTTGGAAGGCAGGGTGCACCTGATGCGAGGGGTCCTGCGTCTGTGGGGTGCGGGCTCTGGCCTGCCCCGCTACAAGGCCTCTCTGGGATCTGTGAGGCTCGGGGAACAAGAACCAGAGTGGAGAGTGTGTCGGCTAGGACACGTCCAGCTGCAAACAGCACAACACCCCGCTCAAACGTGCGGCTTCCACAACTCAGACATTCATAATCGCACATAGTAATCAAGCACGTTTGGCTCACAACAGGCTCCAGAGAAGTGTGAGCTGCTGTCGTTATTAGTGAAAACAACTATGATCACCATCACTGCAGCCAGAAAATCAAGGCAGGGCTTCCCCAAGGCAGTGCCGCAGTCAGAGAGCCAGGTGCTTCTCTCCGGCGTACTCTGGCTTTTGCAACGTGGATCAATGCCTCCTCTCCTGACCTTGAAAAGGCCATGTGGTTTCAGAGGTCACGTGCAGACAAATGGCATCCAGCAAAGGAAAAGGGGCCACTTCCGCTTTCTAGGAAGAGAAGGTCCGCGGGCTGACACTGACTCGCCTGCCTATGCACTCATTGCCAGGGGCTGAGAAAAGAGGATCGGCCTGGGCTGGAGCAGCAGGGCCCCGCGGGGCGGGAAGAGGACCGGCACGCAGGCAGCCGGGTGCTTCAGCCTTCACGCCGGTCCTTCTGTGCAGGTGGGATTCTTAAGAAAGACGCAGCAGGACAGATGGGCTTGGCATGAGGAGCTCTGTGCTTTGGAGCCAGCCTCCACCTCTGCCTCTCTAAGAGACAGACTCAGGAGCCCGGGGAGCAGAGCTGCCTGGGAAACGGGGCTCCCAGATACAGGGCAGACTTTCATCACAGCACCTGCGAGAGCCTGTCGGGCAGCTACGTAACAGGGCAGGCAGGGCATGGAAGCCAGAGAAGAGGACTGAGCAGAGAGGCACTGTCCCTGGAGGACCGGGATGGTCACCATCTGCCGGCCGTGCTTGGGAATAGCCTCCACCGCTGCACCACCTTCACTGCCTGCAACCCGGTAGGTTTGGTTGTCTGGAGGACAGGAAGAGTCCTGAACACTGGGAAAGACAGAAGCGCGTCGGTCCTAGGGAGAAATATCATCCTGAGGGTGCCGTTCAGGTGGAATGGCTAGACACAGCCAGCCTGACCAGGCAGGTGCTGGGAAGTGAGACATTCAGGGCTGGGGTTCTGTGGCTCCAGTGTGTGGCACCCTGTAGCTTATTTCCTCAGCACTCACCTTGGAGGGATGCTTTTCAGTCGTTTGTCTACAGGCAGGCTGAGCACACCAACAGGAAACCTAAACTCAGGGAGAGCCAGGCAAGCTGTCAGCAATGCCAGCTCTCCAAGGACAGAAAGCACTTGGTCCCAGGGAGGGCAGACACCAGATTCCATGGAGGGCTCTACTATCCAGCGGATTGCACTTCAAGTCCTACCTAAGAGCTGCACAGACTCTGGTCAATTATTTAACCTCTCTAAGCCTCAGTGTCATTGTATACAAAAAGGGGAGGGTGACTGTACCTTCTTTAAAGAGTTGAGGTGAAGATTAAATGAGTAAATGTATGTAAAATTCTTAGGCCGGTACCTTTGCTTATATAATTACTGGTGACTCATTCTGAGGAGAGGAAGCCCAGCATAGCAGCGTCCTACCCACACTGACCTCAGACAAAATCCCTAAAGTCGGTTAAAAAAGAACTCTGAGCAAGCAGAGTTGGCCGAGGAAACATTTTGGGGTGGGGTACATTTTTCAGCCGTGACATAATTTTGATTGCGTTAATTGGACTTTTGTAAGGTGAACTTTTGGAGGTAAAGGTCAAACCTCTCCAAACAACCTGGACTTCCCCATGCTGTGCAAAGCAAAGGCGCTGAGTGGAGGAGGGTGAGGTCTTCGCAGCCTTCCTCACGACTCTGGCCAGCTTGACCAGGGACAGGCAGGCGTGCTTTTGAATCTCCTGCACTCCCACAGGAACGAGGCTGTGTACTGGAGGGTGAAGATGAGGTGAGCACAGTTATCTGCAGACCTGGGAACACTGACAGGTGAGCCTGCACCAGAGAAAGTAGGTCACAGCAGGGCGTCAGCTTGGGGCCCACATCGCCCATGGCCCCCGAGGTCCGAGTTCCTAGGGCTGGGCGTAATGAGCCAGGTCTCTCTGGTGCCTCCTGGCACCTACTCTCCTACTGCCTCGAATGCCTCCTTTGTCATCCGATGTCTATTTGGGGGTTTGGTTCCTCAGGGGAGGAGACTCGGGGCCTCATGACCTCATAGGCCCTCTTCCCCTGGGCGTGCTGCCTCCCTTGCCTAGGCTTTTTCTCAGGAACTCTGAGTTGTCCAGTTTGATCCCCATGTTGCCGGCTGAACAGTTCTTGCTCCCTGACCGTGGAGCTCACAGGTCGACGTTGCCAGGACTCCACATCCGGTCTATCCAGCCCTGCCCAGGGAGACCGGGCCCCGGGTCCAGGGGAGCTCACCAAGCCCTCAGCCGGGAAGGACAGTGGCCCCCAGATGCCTGGGCTCTTCCAGCATCCTATGGCTCCATCTGGCCACGTCAGCAGCCTGCAAACTAGAAACTAGAACTGAGGCCGAAGAAATCATCCAGAACTTTCCAACTCACAAAAAGTTTGAGCAAAGCAAGGGTTTGGGCACTGGGCTGGGTGTGAAAGAGACGTGTGAGGGCTGGGAGCGCGGACAGCCCAGACAAGGCATCCACAGCAGGGCGAACACCACAGGCTGCCCCTGGCCCTAGTTTGCTGCTGGAAGTTCTCATTCACTCGGGTTTCATTTACACAGCCAAGAGGGGCCTCCAGGGACACAGCAGCTGCTGGTGCCCTGAAGAGGATCCTGGGACAGAAAAGGGGCAAGAGGTAGAAACTGATGAGACCGCACAAACCATGGGCTTCAGCTCATAATAGTGTACCAGCGCTCTACCATTAATTGTGAGCAGGGCGCCACGTGGGTGTAAGGTACTGCTACCGGGAAGCTGGGAGCAGAGGCTGGAGGAAAGATACAGAGGAGCTCCCTGGACTGTCTGCACAGTTTTTCTGTAATTCCAAAACTGTTCTACAAAATAATGTCTGTTAAAAATAATATTTTTATAAAACCTTTCCTCAGCAACATAATTTAGACACTTGACTGGCAATGACTTAGGACATAGCTCACAGCCCTTCCTGCTTTATTATAATGAAATATAAATGAGGCAACTGGGAGAAGGTTGTTAGGAAAATGTCATTTGTTGGGTCATCACATGGGACAGTCACAGAGGCAAACCATCACCATTACACGTCCAAATGTAACCGTAACTTCAGAGAAACTCGGGGGAGCCACATACTACAACTCTAATGCCGTGACCCTGAGCTTTAAAACTTAAAACATAACTAAATAAGAGGAGTACAAAGTGCCAAACAGGTGGCGCTTGACAGAGGGCTGGAAGAGAACAGTGCGTTCCTCATAATGAGGGAGCGTCTAATAAGAGCCGTTTCAGACATAATCAGCTCGGGAGAGAAACTGCGGAACAGAATGAGCATCCTAATTCAATTTGTGTTATTATATTGACGATGCACTTACATAGTGCTTTTCTCACCGAGGCTGTCAAACACATTAGACTAAGTTCTGCACAACAGAATCCAGAATATTGAATATGAGAGCTGCACTGTAGAATTCTTCACCTTCAAAAGTCTTTTAAGAAAATCCACAAAGCCACATTTCTGAGTAGATATGATTAGGAATTGCATCTGCCTTGGTAGAAACATTTTACTTCTCTTTTATTCCACCTGGTTCTTGAATGAGAACTGCTGTACCACTTTCTCTGTCTTTGTGGCCATGATTGGAAGAGTTAAATCCCAGCTTCATGCTGGCTGCAGTTTGAATGTTTGTGTTCCTCCAAAATTCCTCCTACAACTCAGTCTCCAACACCACAGTGCTGAGAGTCAGGGCCTCTAGGAAGTGATGGGAGGGGATAGATAGCTTCAAGAAAGGACTGCAGGGAGCGAATTCCTCCCTTTGCCCACAGCCTTCCAAGTGGGAGCACAGCGACATGGCACCATCTTGGAGGCAGAGAACAACACTCACCAGCACCAACTCTGCCCTCCGTGGCCTTGGACTCCCATCATCCAGATTGTGAGAAATAAATTTCTGTTGTTTACAAACCATCTCTTCTTGTGTATTTTGTTATAGCCCAGGAAGAGTCTAAGACTGCAGAAACACTGGCCAGCCTCCTGCCAAGTCTGCGGGTCCATGTCCAGTCTATACTGGTGTCCTCCACTGCTGGTCGTTTCAGGTTATACACATCTGTCTCCATCAAGGCTCAGTGAATAGAAACTCACTTCAATCTGCCAGGAGATGGGAATTTTTGTTTAAAAAATAAAAGTTTCCTAGATGTTCAAAAAGCCAGAAGTGATGTAGGCGCAGAACTGGAGGCTCCACGGCAGCTAGGCACCGATTGCTGGGCTGCCAAGGTCTCTCAGCCCTGCTGCTCTCTGGAATCTCCCTCTGCTCCTGCTCCCTCCCTGCAGGGGTTAGGACCTCTCTGCTCCCCCATATCCCAACCACAGTGGCTTTGACCATGCACAGTGCCAGCCCTGGGGCCTGCGCTGTGTGATCTTCCAGTCCAAGTGCCCCTCTCTGGGCTCTACCCATCAGGGCTCAACTCCAGGTTCCAGGGGAAATGCTCAGGATCGACCATGTCCTGCGAACTGAGGACACCCTCTCCCGGGAACTGAGAGCCGCTGCAAGGACCATGAAAAGGGAAGAAGTAACTCCATTTCCCCTTTGAAAGTTAACTTAATTTTTATTATTATATTAATAACCCATTCCTTACTGAAAAATAAAAAAATTAAGTTAAGCAAACTTATTCTAAATGCCTAGAATCCCATCATCCCAAAATAACTACTGCAAACATTTTTGGCACAACCTTTCAGAATTTTTAAATATCCACATATTTATATATGCACTAATATTTTTAAGAATAGCATAATTACTTTATACACTGCTTCGGCATCTGGTCTTCACCTAAAATATATGTGAGCATACTGGATATATTTCCATGACTCTTCATCACTGCACATTAATCTTCTGGCTGGGGTGTAATTTAACCAGGCAGCTCTTACTAAAGGGAGGAGGGAGGGAAAAGGAAAGACAGGACAAGAGGAAGAAGAACGGAGAAAAAAATGGAACTGCAGCGATAAAGATAAAGAGATGTAGATAAAGAGGCGAGGGGTGTCCTGGGGAGGGGAGGGGAGGGGAGTGGGAGAAAGAGAAGAAGCCAGATATGTCAGGGACAGGCGCAAATTCCCAATGATGACTGTGATTGCTATGTGTGTCTAAAATGTACCAGTAAAGTAAAAAGTAAAAGAAAAACAGGCAGCGAACACCCGCAGACCCACATTCGCACACACCTGTGTCTGCAAAACTGCAGAAAACTTTCCTCGGGGTAAATTCTTGCAGACTTTCCTGCTTAGGAGGCACGAGACAGACGGCCAGTGTGCTGGACACAAATGTGATTCCGGGACACCGCTGCAGGGTGCTGGAGCTGCACAGCACGGCGGCCTCCTCCTGTCCCAGGCATGGCTGTTCTCTAAACTACCTGCATTTCTCCAGGCCTGAAGTCACAGGGGTTACAGCTCCCTTTGCCCCAGCGCTGTCCCCGGCCAGTCCAGGCTTCATTCGGGAGAGCATTACGTTCAGCCTGACCTTTTCCTTCTTCACCTTCTTCATAACTTGCTAAAATATTTGTACTGAGCATCTGCCTAGCCTTCACCAGCTGGGATGAACCCAGGAGCGTAGCTCCCCTTCTCTGCTTAAAGCTGTCAAATAGACCATTTCCAGGTTGAGCCCAGAGCCTGCTGAATATTCATCCTCGGTCGTGGAGTGCAAAGACCTGCTAGGAAATGGGCAGCTTGCAAAGGCTCCAAGGGCCGCACGACTCCGGCCACGCCATACTGGTGCCTGCTCCTGTTGACTTTATCGGATTTTTGGCTAATGTGCATGCATCATACATATGCATAGTGTTCGGTGTGACCTTTCAACACAAGGACACAGTGGACACTGATCCCGCCCAGCCCGCTTCACCCCTCTGCAGTACGCACTCTTCCACACTCGCTTTGACTTCTTCTAACTTCCACACATGACAGAGAGCTCCGCACTTGTCTTCCTAAGTCTGGCTTATTTCTTTTAACACTGTGCGCTCCCATTCCATTTGCTGCCGACGACAGGATCTTATTCTCCTTCATGACAGAGTAACAGTCCCTGTGTGTACATACCACGTGTTCTTCACCCATTCATCCATTGCTGGGCAGTCGAGTCCATGTCTTAGCTGCTGTGATCATTGCTGCAATGCACAGGGTCTCAGCTCCTTCGGGTATAAATCCAGACACGAACCAGCTGGAGAGCTGCTTCCTGGCTCCGGGAAACGTATCCACTTACTCCTCGTGTTTTCATTTATCTCTGCGTCCACCCATAGCTCTCTACGGGACATTTTTTGGTAAAGTCATTCCTAAGTAAAGACAAATGATAAACGAGTAGCTATTTATGTAACACATTTAGATCATCAGTAACCAATATTGTAATGATTTTTTAATAAAAGTAAATATATGTTTATTGGAGTAATTTTCAGGAAAGCGAAAGCAAAAATCATCTGTAATTATATAACCCAGAGGTATCCACAGAAATCACACACATATTTCTATTTTCTGATTCTTTATCTCCAGCATAATCCCAAATAATAGCAGCCAAAGAATCATTTCTAAGAAAAGTCTTCAAGATGCAATAAAAAATGTCTTTAAGACAACTGTTTGGGTGGAATGGGCGATACTAAGAAGGGGGAACTAGGAAAGGGGAACGGCGAGTGTCTGGACAGAGAAGAAAGAGGGGAGGAGGGAGAAGGAAGGAAGGAGAGACTGGGAGGGAGAAAGGGGTGGAGAGGCCAGAGCTGGGGGAGGAGAAGTGGAAAGGAGATGAAGGGAGAATTACACTCAAGAGGGGAGGAGCTGCACTTTCCAAGAGCAGAGGGAAGACCTGGGAACGGGATGGGCCGGGGCAGACCTTTTTGTCACTCAGGACTCTCAAAGGTCGCAGGGAACAGACCCTCCGGGTGAACCAGGACTGCAGAAAACGGTACGTTTGGGAGCCACGCTGGTGTGTTTCCAAAGACCAAAGCAAGAGCAGGGAATCTGGCAGGTTCAGCAGCGCCTCTGCACGCCCGAGCCAGGCCGCAGAGCTGCAGGGGTCCGGAGAGCATGCCCAGATCCTTGCCCTCTCTGCATCGCAGATGCCCTCCCACCGCAGCCCTGCTGACATCAGGGACAGAAAGTCACTGCCAAGGGCCGGCCGGAGTCCTGGCCCAAGACACCCGCACTCACAGCAGGACTTCCTCTCCATCCGCAGCTCCAGTTAGGAAAACCGGGGATTTCTCTTTCTTTGTGGTGCTAGGGATTGAACCCAGGACATGTGGACTGAACTGCAGCCCCAGCCCGCTTTTACTTGGAGGCAGGCTTTTGCCAAGTTGACATATTGCCCAAGTTGGGCTTGAACTTGTGAGCCTCCTGCCTCAGCCTCCCGGAGTACTGGCACTGCGAGTCTGTACCCAGTGATCACCCCGATCAGAGCCCAGCAGAGCCATGAGGTGAGGAGGAGCACTGTGTCATCAGTGACTCTGGAGGACAGGGAGGCCTTGAGTCTGGAGTAAGAAGCCCTGATTCGCTCTCACAACGCTGTCCACACCGCCCATTCTGCTTTCTTGCTTGCTTGCTTGCTTCAAACCCTGGACTAAGAACCTTGTTCCCCACTCACTTATCTAGTACTCTTCAAGTCACTGAAGTAGGACTCTGCGTCAGGACTTTCTAACCTCTCCTAGTGCACAGCTCGTTAGAGCCAGATCGCCACACGGCCCTCCTGGCCTGCTGAGCTTGAAGCTCCTTCCCAAGGAGCAAAGGGATCGATGGGGTGCAGTTTGGCGTCACAGCCTCTCTGCCCTCTCCGAGCTCTTGGCAAAGCGCAACTAACAGGCTCTGTCGATATTTCAAAGATTGAATCAATGCGTAATCCTAAAATACTTGGACTTGACAGCTATGCCTACGGTTAAGGAGGCTTAGAATATGCCTTATAAATAAGATTGGGCTAATCTGCTCCTTCTGGTGCTTTTTAAATCATACTTAATTCATTTCAACCAATATTTATTGAGTGACCAGCTCTGCTCAATGCTGGATGCTAAGCACTCTCAACATGGGTTCAATAAAAGTATCACTGACTTCCAAAAGCTAGAAGCTCCTAGGGAAAACTTAGACTGCTGTGGAAATAAAGAGGAGGCAGCAAGAGAAACAGGACCATTGTTTGCTGACAGGGTGGGGGACGAAGCTGACAGCTCTCTCTACCTCTCCAGTCAAAAGCCCAACCAGCTAAACCCAGCATTCACTGCTGTTTTAAGACAAAGCAGGGTGACTCAGAGGGCCTTTTCTCCTTGCCATCACGTCCTCCAGAGAGGCAAAGAGCCTATCTGAGGAGACACAATTCACGCGGAGTCATCTGCTAACTCCAGTTCAGGAGCTGGGTTCAGACCACTTAAAACTCCACCATCCTCCACTGGACATTTGGACCCTGAGTAGCATAACTGAGTCCTTTCCTGGTGTTATTTCCTGTTTGAGAGTTTAAAGGTTCACTTGTTTGTTTTAATTTGATAAAGGCAAGTTTTGTTTTGTGTTAGCTCAGCGTTATGCGCACTGCTAAAGAAGCGAACTCTCCCAATAGAAAACTCCCTGTGCTGAAAAACTTCACCTTTTCCCTGAGAATTTTGGTGCAGCAAAACTGATCTAAACAGATCTAAACTCCCAAAGGTTATGCAGCTCCAGAAGTGCCAGGAGGCTGAGTCCGTGCCTCTTTTCCTAGGATAAAGGTGTGGAACACAGAAGATGGTGTGGAGGGAAGCTGTAACACTCACGGGCTTGCCACTGGTCTCTGACCGATCTCAAAGGTGTTGGTCAGCAAACTGTGAGTCTGACCACCTGTCCCCATTAGGCAGGACCTCCCATGAGGCCTGGCTGCTCTCTGCTCCAATGCCATACAAGGCAACTAATCATCCTGCCACCTCTTCCTCCCACTCTCACTCTTCCTAACTTTTAAGGGAGTTTTCCATCATAAAGAAACATAGAAAGTC